AGCTACCATTCAATATGTTTGTTTACACCTGTGCGATACAAGGAAGGTGTAGGGCTGCGGCACGTGCTTCTGTTACGATATGGATAGAGATTGTGTATATGAATAAAAAACAAGTCCCGAATATAGCTTCAGTTTTGGAAAGGTGAAGTCGGTATAATATCGTCTTATTTTTTTAACAAGTCAAAATATATTATCTTATTCAAATATTAATGTAATATTCAACGAGATTGCTTATGTAATGAAATTTATCAAACTCCATGCATCTTACGAAATTTAATTGAAACATTTCAGTATTGTTTTAAGTAAGGTTTATTTTTCTAGTGATGTTTTTTTTCCGTTACCGGGTGATGTCATGGCCTGTTTTGAAATCTTTACGAGCGACACCTTCACATTTTATTCGCAACAGTTCATTCACCGAACACAATTCGTTTATATTAACTTTGTATACATACTCGTATTAATCTATTTACAATCCAATGAACCTGAACCCATATTGGTTTAAAGAAATTATATTATGTTAATGTACCTGAGAGTGATTATTTATAGTTCTGTCCGCGAATTCGCTCACGAGTTCATTATATGCAACTAAGCTTCTTTCAGTCCATAGTAATCTTGTGTTATTTTGAAATTTCAAATAATTATTTTTGGTGTCCTTCAGAATAACAATGTCTTAATAGAAACAAAAATACATTCTCTATCTCTATGTTACATTAATTAAAATTTAGACTCATTTTTTATCCATATTGTTATTATTTATGAACAATAACTAAGTCATTAATAACTATCTGAAGATTTTCCATAACCGGTAATAAAGCTGATAATGGTTCTACATAAGACTCTATTCTAGGATTTGCGAAATAATGTAAGGATACACCAACAGTGTTTATTGAGTCCACTTAAATTAATCACATTTCATACATTATCCTAGAATTAAGAAAGGCCCCTCAAATGTTACTATGTATATTTTGATATTATGTTCAAGGTTTATTGTTTGCAATAGCCTATAGGTCATTCACATAGATACTCCTACACATCGAGGTTAATGCTTACTGATGTGAGCAATAAATTTAATATATTACATCGACAAATTAAAGAAAAATTGGACACGTCCTATACCATATCTAAAAACATTGTAATTTTCACTCCCCCAGCTAATAAAAAAAATATTATAAAGGCACAGGTGCGTGTGAACCCACTATCCGTGAAATTACTGTAAATTTGCCGCGGTGTGGTCTTAAGGGAAAAAATCGTTACAATTACACGAATCATCAACCCCCGGCTGGGATTGGGCATGGTGACCTATGACGTCATCACATACAACCCTAATACCATAGACATACTTATAGAAACGAGAGCATTAACGATCCAAGCGTTTTATCTTCATTATCGAACAGCATAACAGTATAAAAAATACATAACATATCTTAATTAAAACGTAAAAACCAAGAGGCTGGAGGCTTCGTAAGAAGTATCAGTTGATATGATCGATTCTCGTTTCTGTCATATCAACATCATCTCTTTTGTATGATAATCTTAGTGCACATCTCTCGTGATGGCTATCATTAAACTTATCAAAAAAGATTAAATTACTAAGTCTGCATAACTAAAATATTGAATCCCATTGTCCTTACGAGACAATAGGTGATACACAGATATTGATGATTTTATCAATGTTTTAAATATTTAATTTGCTTTTTCATTCAATATCAAGATAATATCGACTTTGTATTTCAGATGAATTCATATTGGACTGCATCTACAAGGGACGGGATAGGATTGTATTCATTCTAACGATTAATAGCTTCATATTCGCTACGTATTACAACTAAATAATACTTACATCTTGTTAGTGAATCTTTTCGGGTATCATTAAAAGGGATAATGTTAGGTCGCTGGAGGGTAAGGGACGTGGCGAAGATTCGGGCGCCAAGATCGCCATGATACCGACCATAGAACAGTAATCGTCAATAAAATCTCAATTTAGATGGCACCGATACCGGATGAGTTACGGACGGACGAAACGAACACGAAAACCTACTTGACGATGGAATGTGAACCATAGCAGGACAGAGGACCTGCTAACGAATTAGGTACTTCAAATTGGGCGTTACATTAATTTTATTTTTTAATTTACGATTTTATAAGATAAGCGCCGTCTTTTATCCAGTCCGACGCGAGTTATTTAAAGTATCGTTAGCGTGAAGACGCATTAACCTGCGTTAATGACGACCTGACAATCTCAGCATCATGTGATGATGTGACGCCTCGTGGACGCCTCCTGTACACCGGCACGCCTACAAGTATTTACAATAAACACAACACAACATAACACAACCAGTCTTTCAGCGGCCCACCCTCGATAAAACACCCCGGAGTGATCATTTAAAATGAATTTGTCTAAAGTGTTAAATGATGAAAACTATTTTTATTGTTTCATATAAATTAACGATCCCAAGTTAACGTATACCTTTTCTCACATTTGTGATATCTTATCTGGAATGATTGCTTCCATTACCTCCAAGAACAGACATGTTGTTTTGTTGGTGAGGAGAGATAAAGAGATTAATGCGTAAAGCAATTAATTTTGATTGAGGTGTGTTTTATTAAGTAATTGCTTTTGTTCCTGATGTGAATTTGAAACGCAGCGTGAAAATTTAATATGATTTAATAGATTTTTATGATATACCTAGTGTTAATGTGTTAGGTTTCATATAGATTTCAGATTTAGGTATGATCAAACTACAATGTATTATAGGTGGTTTTATATTTTATACATTGTTAAGGTAAGATCCCGTCTGGGATAAGATCTGTCTAAAGGAATAACATAATATGAGTATTCCACGCTCGTGTTTGGCGTGTGTCTCGTTCCCACAGCGAGCTTTAATACATTTTCCATGTTCCAGTTAGCGCCCCATAAATTGATTAGGGGTCTGCGGCGGCGCTCAAAAGTTTTTTGTGCTATGAGACAGGTACTAAGCTCCTTCTCTTAGGGATCAACCGAATACTTGTGTGTTAGTAACAATATCATACGTTATTCACAGTTATTTCGTGAATATTTAGCAGCTATATCGCCATAATGGACTAAAGTAATTTCCTGACAGGAAATTGCTTTCCTTGACGAGTGCGTACAATTTCCCTAAGAGGTAGCGTTTAAGTCACCGTTCTGACATCAATCATTTGTTTAAAAATAAATGTAGCAAGAAACCCGCTTAAGTAAATATAGAGCATAGAACAAAAAAAATTAACAATCGACACAAAATACATGTAAGTATTATTCGTTAAATAAACATCTGAATATTTGTATATAAATCGAATATCCTTTCACAATAAAATGCCATATTGTTTAAGTTATGAAATATCAAGATGAAGTCAGATAGTAATTTAGTCGAGATGTTTTGGTGAGTTCGAACAAAAAAGACGAGGTGACAATATAAATAACAATTTGGCCCACCCCGTTCAAATGTGTACCGTCGGATTAGCATAAGAATGCTGCATCACAAGCGCCCACAGACCTCAACGGCCCAGCTCTGACCAGCGTTGTCTCTATACATCGAATTTAATTTTGATTTACGTTTATACACACAATTGTGAGCAAAACATTCTGTGATGCGAACAATTTATAACCAGCCGACAATGGTCCGTGTACGCGATTATTTCATTTTTATTTAAGGTTCTTTAACACCATAAATGTATATTACGGTAACGTGGAGCTATTCAAGTCACATTTAATATAATTTTCATTACATTTATTATATTATTTTTAAAGTTTTTACATCGAAAATAACGAGATGCGACATGTAAGATGTCAGGAAATTTATAATTTATATGAAATATAAAATATCCAATCATTCATTGTGGATCTAATAAATGTTTGTGGATAGCAGATTTCCCACACGGCAGCCAAGCTATAAATCTCATACATTATCCTGTTAGATGTTGGAAGGCACATTGCACATATATAACCAACTATCAATAAAACACATCTGTATTAGAAGACCATCAAAATATTACAGTTTAAACAATAAAGGTATGATTTAGAGCCTATAAAACATTAAACGCTTATAAAGTTACAACTTCATATATGCTGAAGGTATATAATTTACGTTTACAATTTAAGTGATATTTTCGGGGGACATAATTAAGCGCTTCTCGTGATAACTTTATGCAAATAATGTAAATAACCGAGTATAATTAATTGACAACAGAGAATCATTTGACGTTAAAGTGATTCGCATCCTTTGGCCCCATCGGATCTTCTAATTATTTTAAAACGCCTCCAAATATCGCCCTACCTTATCTGATATCGTGACATGTTTAATTTTTAATTAAACTGCAAGATAAATAACCCTTATTATATGGGAGGTCTCTTTTATCTTTTATTCTTTTATCAAATCGACTTCTGAATTTATTTTACCTAAAAAAATTTGTTTATAAAAATTTTTCGTAATATTTTAAAACTGTCCGAATAAAAACATATACATATTTAACAAGATAATTATTGAGCTAATATGATATAATTAATTGACAATAAATGATCCGATGGATGCTCGGGCAAATATAAAAACGTTTTTAAACGAGATATCGAGTTAATAAAAAGAGTTCCGTGCTCAGTATTAATACGCATTTAAGATAATATATTTTTATATACAAAAATAAAACGACCACCAAATAAATCTCGGCGAGCCTTATCGTATTTCCAGACGCGACAATAAAAAGCCGATAAAGACGAGGTCTCTTCCCTTTACTTTTCTTCGATTCACTAAGAGTTACGGCTTTACACTTATTTTGGTTTGACATTTGGTTCTAAGTAGATCGGGGTCGGATGTAATCAGTGTTAAATCTTAATTAAGTTGTCCCAGGGCTGGCGCTTACTTAAACATACCTGAGCGTTTGACCCAATACTAAATTAGCTACATTTAAATCAATAGAACACGATTGTTATGAAATGTTACTAATGCTAATGTTTTATTTTTTTGGAATAATATAATAGATTCACTTACCACATTTACGAATTCTTGAAAGGTTATGGCCGGACTTGTTGCACTTTTGGCTTTATCCAATAGTATCTGTTGAAAAAAATAATTTATAAGATTTCGTGATATTCAGACTCTAGTTAATGTCGATATGAAAATGGTACCATCTTTGAAGTTAGGGCATTAAATTAACAAATGAAGTCGATTATAATATGTATAATGTTTTTTTTATTAAAAATATGTTATTGTCTTCATATTTCGTAAGCATCTATAGGGCTATATTTAGTATTTACCTCACGCTTGTGAGGCGGCACCTGGGCTATAAAATCAGGATTCTGTAGGGTCTGTAGGAAGTCTGACCACGGTATCTCCCCGAAGCCTTCCGGATCAAACTGCAGATAAACACATACAATATAATATTCACACCTATACGCCGCGACCCTCACGTAGACGTTTAATTTTCACGGGAGCATCCGAACGTCATAATCGCCTGACGTTCTGGGAGTTTGCATTATAATGTTTATGATATTGTAATAATTTTTGTCATTTCCAAAAAGAATGACACAAAAACTGTAAAGCGCCCTATCTGTTTCGTCATATTATCTCAATGTTCGCTACGTGAGGACACAGCGTTTGATCCGAGGCGCTACCGACGCTGCTTATCTGCTTATAAAACTTTTTGTACCCCGCTTCTGTACATTTTAATCAAGTCAAAACAGAAGAAACATTCTAAGAAATTCGTTTCCGTGTCGTATGAGACTACCGTTTGTTATATGCGGACCCTAGAACTCATGTGTATGCTGAAAACGTCGCGCTGCCAACGATTCATCATTATATTAATAATAACTATATTCATAGCCTTTCACACACACTCATACAACTATAAACACGCACACACACGCGCATTCATAGATAAATTTAGATTTATTTTATTTCATATGCTTATAGAATAATTCATTTTATTTATAAGGACTTAAAACTTTATACCACATAATAAAAACCGATTAAAATAAATATAAAACTAATATAGCAAAAGAAATGAGAAAATATTTTCATAGGTACTTAACATAATAAACCTTTTCTCACAATAATTTTTAATTAATTTCTCTCCGTCTTCACGTAAACAATTGAATGAATTGAAATATCACTTTCATTGTTGTTCTCAAACGTTGGAAAGAGGTGACGTTCAGTGATTAGTGAAATGTATAGAGACTTTTTAAGCAAAATGTAATTATCTTCCGTTTTATTTAGTTCATAATGATTCATAAATATTTTAAAAGAATTAAAGTTATACTTACCCTATCAAAAAGCAGACGCCATTTCTAAAAACAAAATGGTATATAAGTAAAGAGTGTCACATTACGTTAATTCTTATAGTATAATAACAAATTCTATTCTTAAAGGTAAATAAGTAACGAAGTCAAGTGACTGAAGAATCGCGTCATTTTTTTAGAATAAAATATTAAGAATGTAAAGCATTATAATGAGATTTAATATTTTCACGAGTTTTATTTATTTAAATGAAACTAATAATTTTCGGATATACTACGCGATTGTATTTTTGTAAAGAACTATCATTTTCATCATCAACATTTCACATCCCGTCTGCCCATGATCACGATTGCCGAAAAGTTACCGAAACGTCGGGAGTATGTAGTTTTTTACAACAATAAAGTCGCGTAGTATAATCCGAAAAATATGAGTTGCATTTAAATCTAAAGCTTTATATATTTTGAACATACATCATGCATCAACTCCCTTCGTATTTCCGCCTCGTCCAATTCCGAACCCAGGTCCGTGTGGTCGGTGTCGTAGAGCGGTTCCGCGGCCCGGGATAACGATCCCAGCGAATCCCGGGCTGAGGCGAGCGATCCCGTGACCGTGGGTAGCACTCCCGCTTCAATCCCGGACTCCATGGAGGTGTTTGCTGACGGGATAGTGGCCGCGGGCGGCGCGCGGACCTCACCGCCCGACCACACTGACATCCTAACAACACCATCCACACAAACAAACTATTCTCCTCACTTCTATATATTCATTTGGCATTTATTGGCACTTCGTTTAATATCACCCATTATTTTTATTATATATATACGTATATTATTATCATGGACAGATTTGGACCGAATATTTGTCATGTGGACAATAGTTATAAGGCTAAGTTATTAATGAACTGTGTCTAATTTACGGGGTTAAAGAAAATACTAAGGCACGTTGTTCGATAAAGCTCTGTCAGGCAGCCGAATGGTCTGAAACAAACATATATTATTTGTAAATGTAAAATATTAAAACTATGTAAAAAAAAACTTTATAACTTATACTTTATTCCAGTTTAAAAAATACCTTATATTACAAATTGTATAGATAATTACACGAATGACATTTAATTATTTTCTTCTAAAAACTGAAAGATATTCAACAATTCCAATGTGAATGTAACCATAGCAAAAAAATATATAAACATCTCTTAACGTTAGTCTAATATTTTGTTATTCTTTAGACTAATTAGTCTTTAACGAATTGCAAAACAACTGTAATAATATTTTATAGATAAAGCAACGCAAGCATTTTTATATTTTTTTAAATCAATATTTGTGACACTGAAAACCTTTTCATATTACATTGGAATGAATTAACAATGAGTTTTATAAATAAAAAGCTAGAAATGATTATTTTCACCCGACGGATACGGATGGTTTATATTTTTCGCGCGTATTTAGTCACTGGTACTAAATTTCTTTTTTACCGCATTCATATATTTGTGTCTTCCTGGATGGATTTAGACAGCCATGGTTCCCATATTCATTTCAAAACCAAATTCCCTCACACGAATGTGAAAAAAACTTTTTTCCGCGCGAAATAGTTAATATTTTGCATGCAAGCCGCATAAGAAGTACCAAAATTATCGCGTAAAATAACAAAATAAAGTAAACTTAAAAGAGAAATGACCATATATCTACATAAACAGTAATTATTTATTTTAAGATAATTTTATACTTTTTACGATCAAATATAGAAAGAATGATTACATTACAATATGTGAATAAAAAACTATTTTTTTATGTGTTAAAAATTCATTACGCATTTTTTACAAAATATTATACGTCATAATTTCTGACCCGTTTCGACAGTATCGCAACTTGTATCTATTGTAATTAATCGATTTTTAAAAACCAATTTGATTTAATTATATTTGAATTACAAAGTTTAATCTTTGATTTTTTTTAATACTTACAACAACGGATGTTCTTATACTCGTATGAACTGAAATCTTTTTTTTAAATACCTAAATACCGAAGTCTATTTAAGGTTGAATTTTAAACTAAAACTCAATATTCATCGTTAAATCTTTATTGATAGAGATCGTCGTCCTAACAGCATGACTTAGAGTTTAACCAAACCTAATTACCAACATAGAAACATCTCGGTTAGTAACACTCGTACGGCCAATCCGAAATCATTAAAGCGTGCTATTATTTAGGGGAAGGAACATAAGGAAAGCGCATCGTTCCAGAGGGCTTTAGCCCTCTTGACGTTACTATGGCAACGTGTCGCAGTTTCATTCACCATCCAATATCTTCCCTAACTAACGCACGTGCAAAAGTGGGTGTTTCAAATCCCTCCACACATTTAGTACGTATCTTTGGCTTCGTATTAAAAACTATTGAATTATTATCATAATATTGTATATGTAATATTAAATTCCTTTCAATTAGTGACCACCCAGCTACCAGTTCACACACGATTGCCCATTTAAATTCAATTTATACAAGGTGACCTGTGCATTAAACGGTATGTAGGTACCTTAGTTTCTAAGTAATAAGTATAATTATAAAAATCAAATTAAATATAAATATCTAACAAACCAAGTTGAATCTTATTGTCAAAAAAATACCACTTTCTAAATATTTGCTAAAATAAATTAGTGTATACATTTGTTTACATTTCAAAATTGACAATTACGTATCATAGTAAAATAAACAATCTTTGACTTACCGTTAATATACTTCTCACACTATCATAAGGGTAACTTCAATCTATATTTTCTTTCCAACGTTTTGTAATAGAACAACATTTCGTGTCAGGATCTCATAAAAGTTGGGGATGCGGCGGGCATTTAACATACGTCAAAACAACTCGTGGTACATTGCAACTGAGAGTGGCGTCAAGATTTTAGCGCATGCGTAAATGATGCTCTGGGGTTGCATAAAATATTGAAATGGACCAGCGAGTCATTGACATACTATCACAAATTGTAAGTACTTGCAAAAAAGTAATTACTTTTCATTCACAAGGAACAGAATGTTAAAATAATGGCAGGTCTCTACTTTAACGCCTTTAAAATATAACGAGCAAAACTGCATTCCAGTAACATTCGAATTTTAAAAGATTATGAAATTAAAATTATTGTTCCATATCAAATTAATTTTATTATTTCAATTTATAAAGCTCCAGTCTATTTAATATTTTACAAATTAATATTTTAATGATTTTTTATAGTAATTATATTTTCTTCACATACTTTTTTAAGTAAAAGTTAGTTTTTAAACTTCTGTGCACATTTAGTTCCGTACTAAATACACTTAAAAAACAAATTTAAGGAGTTTAAAAATAATTCTTCTCTCTATTGATTCATAGTAAGCAATACTTGAAATACATTACTAAAACTTTACTATTGGTTTCCGAGTATTAAAATAATGGGTTGAAAAAGTAAAATTAAACTAACAACGTAAGCTATCGGGTCCTTTTTACATAAAAAAAAAGTGCTTAAAGGTCACAGAATATATTTTAGTCTGTATTGGGAAAATAGTTCTCATTGGTTTATATAAAAGAAGTGTAATAAAGTTTTTCAGAGTTAAGTCGTTTAAAACTAAAAAAGGATAGAGTGACTTATTAAATAAAAGCCTTAATACATTTATTTATTTGTACTTTATTTATGATAATTCTCCCCAGTAAAGTTTGTGCTCCTATACAATATCAAATACTTTTTCAATCCCTTTTTTCTGTATACATTTCTATCTCTTTTTATTAAACTGATTTCGGAATAAATTTCTAGTCTAGCAACTCTTGTAAAGTAACGACTCAAAGTATTAATATCGAATGTCAATTGTCATTTAAAGTTTGACATATTCTTGCTATTTACCTACATACTATTATGAATCTAGTTAAAAACAAGTAAAGATCCTTATGATAATAGGTGTCAAAGTGGCACTGTTTTAAAATTAATTATTATGCCTACAGGCCGTGCTGTATTTTTATTGCGACGTTTGTCGACAGGTGATAATCGATTAAAAAATATAAACTTCAATCAAAACACGTCAAAGGATACATTACTGTCTCACCCGGTTTGTATACATCGTGATTTGGCTTACAATAAAAGGTAAATAAACAAATTATGCAATAGAAATTTTATATTGTAGTTAATTACTCAGTAAAGAGATCCCGAGCGTTCAATTATTTTAGTGTTATGTAAAAATATCTAAGTGACCTTGTTTTGTTGACATATACGGACGTATATTTAAATTAGATTAAAGACACCTTTTAAAATGGGTATAAGCCGTACTAATAAAAATATTAAAAAAAAATATATAAGTCTGAAGTCCAATGTCTAATTAGGGGCTGGTTAAAAATATAGAAAATAGGATTCCATTGTTTACTAGATTAATTTGGTAAATAATTTGTAATCAAAATATGTTTGTTGTATTGACTATTATGTCATGTTCCATTCATACTATAAATACTATCTTTATATTTATATTGTGCAGTTTTATTCGGGAAAAGGGAAAGGGAAATGACTGAAATTGGAACAATAAATAAATAAAAAATCATAACTTTATTTATTTTTATTAATAATATGTAAAAGGGTTGCAGCAAAATTTTACTGATGACGTTAATATTTTATGTAATATATGAGAGGCTTGTACATTTGAATTTAAAATATTACATTCAGATTTCTGGACACACAACTCAATTGTGAATTTTATGTGGTTAAATTATGTTGATCAATAAGATTAACAATATGTTCTATAAATTTACATGAACATTTGTGCTTTGTTTATTATAATACTAAAACCTGTCCAAAATATAATTTTCAGAATCTCTGGATTTGGTCACAATAATATTAACCCAACGCTCACAAGAAGTTACAGTGATAACATAATAAAAATGGCTTCTTCGGAATCAAGTGCAGCTCCTAAGAAGCACACAAATAAATTAGTGAATGAGAAATCTCCATACTTGCTGCAACATGCTCATAACCCTGTCGATTGGTATCCGTGGTGCCAGGAAGCAATTGATAGAGCAAAACAAGAAAATAAACTCATATTTTTATCCGTGGGTTATTCAACATGCCATTGGTGTCATGTTATGGAGAGAGAGTCTTTTGAAAGTGAAGATGTTGCGAAGATAATGAATGAACATTTCATCAATATCAAAGTAGACCGTGAAGAACGGCCTGATTTAGATCGTGTGTACATGCTCTTTGTTATGGCGACTACTGGTGGTGGAGGTTGGCCTATGTCTGTTTTTCTAACACCAGATCTACGTCCAGTAACTGGCGGCACTTACTTCCCTCCTGAAGATAGGTGGGGACGGCCAGGATTCAAAACAATCTTGCTCTCATTAGCTAAGAAATGGAAAGAAAATCAAACCCAATTCTTAGAAGCCAGCATCAACATAATGGATGCTTTACAAAACATTTCGAATGTTCAAGTCGAAACGAATTCGGTGCCTGGTGAGGCGACTTGGAATAAATGCGTTAGACGTTACATAACTAACTTTGAACCTCATTTCGGTGGATTTGGAACAGCACCAAAATTTCCTCAAGCCTCAATATTTAACTTCTTGTTCCATTTCTATGCACGTGATAAACAAAATCCGGAAGGCAAGCGATGTCTAGAAATGTGCTTGCATACTCTGACTAAGATATCAAAGGGCGGTATCCACGATCACGTGGCGAGTGGTTTCGCTCGTTATTCTGTTGACAATGATTGGCACGTGCCGCACTTTGAGAAGATGTTGTACGATCAAGCACAGCTAATGGTCGCCTATACTGATGCATATCTCGCGACGAAAGAGGAATTTTATGCTGACGTCGTACGGGATATTGTAAAGTATATAAATAGAGATTTAAGACATGACTTGGGTGGTTATTATAGTGCGGAGGATGCAGATTCCTATCCAGTTTTCGGGGCCAATGAAAAAAAAGAAGGCGCTTTCTGTGTTTGGGAGTATGATGAAATCAAATCGCTCATTGGAGATAAACAAATTGGTAAAGTCTCATATTTGGATGTTTTCTGTGATTATTTCAATGTAGAGGAATCGGGTAATGTGTCCCCTGAAAGCGATCCGCACGGAGAACTGACGAATAAAAATGTTTTAATCATTTATGGATCGAAGGAAGAAACCGCTAGTAAATTTGAGATCACGAAAGATCAGCTGAAACAAGTCCTGAACGAATGTATTGACATTTTGTATGAAGCTCGTTCAAAAAGACCTCGACCACATCTTGATACTAAAATGTTGTGTTCTTGGAATGGTCTTGCAATATCTGGCCTAGCACAAGCAGGACAAGGTTTAGGAGAGAAAATGTTCGTTGAAGACGCCATAAAAGCTGCTAACTTTATCAAAGAACATTTGTATGATCAAGAAAATAAAACTCTCCTTCATTCATGTTACAAAGCAGAAGACGGCAATATTACACAAACGTAAGCCAGATGAATCTCTGTAGTTTATACATTTTTGACAAACATATAGTAATGAATATGTTTTTTTAGAAACCCACCTATAAAAGGATTTTTGGACGATTACGCGTTTTTAATTAAGGGTCTGCTCGATTTGTACGAGGCGTCTCTAGACTTGCACTGGTTGAACTGGGCGCGTGAACTACAAGAGAAACAAAACGAATTATTTTGGGATTCAGTTAACGGTGGTTATTACACTTGCTCCACCGAGGATACTTCTGTTGTTTTGAGATTAAAAGAAGGTACGCATATATTTTTATCTATTACTATTTTTATATAGGAATAACTAAAAGACCCGGCGAACTTCGTATCGCCCTATAATCAAGAAATATCTGTTACGTTTTTTTATTTATATTTTTTGGAGTTTACCTATTAAAGCCATAAATCTCCGTGTTTTGAAGTGCGACAAAATGATTGACACATTAGTTGTCAAATCTAATGTCAAAAAAAAAACGTTTGTATCAACAACTAATAATAAATTAAAACTTAATTTAAAAAAACATTGTCCAGCGGACAAAATTGTGAATCTAAACCATTCCCAGATCCCCTTGAACACACACAAAAAAAATTATCAAAATCGGTCCAGTCGTTTGAGAGAAGTTCAGTGACATACACACTCACTGAAGAATTATATATGTATATAAAGATGTTTATAATTTTAATTTATTATTTCGCAGACCAAGATGGCGCAGAGCCTTCAGGTAACAGTGTGTCCTGTCATAATCTTCAGCGCTTGGCGGCGTATGCTGATAAGAGTTCGGCGGTGGAGGGGGGCGATAAAGAAAGGGATATGGCCAAAAAAGTCTTGTTAGCATTTGCGAAACGACTGAATGACTCTCCTACTGCGTTACCGGAGATGATGTCGGCTCTTATGTTCTTTACTGACTCACCAACTCAGGTTAAAAAAAAACTCTTATAATTGCTGTTAAATATTAAGTTTATGTTTGTATGACATTCGATGTTGTGAACACTATCCGAACTATTGAAAAACAAAGAATATTATTTTTATATTTAACCAAATGTAAATGTATGATTATTGCAGACTCGATACTTACTTTTTGGTACACTATCTGTATACCTAAGAATAAGATATAATTGTAAGCTTTAGAAATAATTTAAATTTTTATAATATTTACTTATAATTTACAATATCAGTACTCTTTCAAATTTTAATACATCCTAAACACATGTATCACCATAAAATATTTAGTTGTCAACCCTAGTTAAAGACTTGTGTGACAACCCTTAATTAAATTTAATTTCCAGGTGTTAACCCTTAATTAAATTTGATTTCCAGGTGTTAATATCAGGTGGTTGTTCTGATCCTCGCACCCTGGCGCTAGTCCGCGCGGTTCGTTCCCGTTTACTTCCAGGTCGAGTGCTGGCTGTCGCTGATCCCAAGGATTCGCCAGCTGGTATGTCGGACATACGTGAGTCCACACCCTTATATATATCTCACTAGCTTTCCGCCCGCAGCTTCGCCCGCGTGGAGTTCGGTTATATCGCGTTTCTAAGAGAACCTTTCAAAAGTCTGGGATAAAAACTATACTATGTTCTTTCTCAGGGACAACTGTATCTCTGTACCAAATTTCATTAAAATCAGTTCAGTTCAGTGGTTTAGGCGTGAAAGCGTAATAGACAGACAGACAGACACTTACTTAGAGAGTTACTTTCGCATTTATAATATTACTAGGGATTAACATCTATTTATCTTCTTTTCCAGTATTGAGTCGTATCCGTAGTACTGGTGAAGCTCCTACGGCGTACGTGTGTCGTCGGTACGCTTGTTCGTTGCCCGTCACTAGTGTACAACAACTGGAAACACTTCTCGATGAACCTTAGACATACAAACATACATTTGGATCTTTAACAAATCTTTTTCATTCTTCTTCAACTCACTTAAAAGGTTTTTTTTTTTATCACACAAAAAAAGTTACTCTAAATGTTTGATAAAAGTTAGAATAGTGTGTGTAAACCTTTCAGGTCATTTCTGTAGCATTAACTTAAACAATATGTCAATGTAACAACACGTCAATTGATATGTATATCCCAAATGATTTTCGGAGTGCGACCCTCATTGTCGTTTAAAATTTTCTAGTCACAACTAATAAAAACATTCGAAATTTAAAAATGAAGCAAATGGTACAATTGAAACAAATGATAATCGTCATTATTTGAGTTAAAAAAATATTGGTTCTAAATCAATAATCGTTTTTCTTAAATCTTCAGAAGAATTTATAAATAATACCTTTTTATCTGCATAGCACCATTTTTTTTAGTTAAAAATATTATTTTATTAATAATTATTATTACATGTCAATCTTTCAATCTGTCAATTTGATTCTACTAAAGCTCAAATTGAAATGTTTAGTTCTTATACATATTTGTACTCAATACGAAATGTAGTGCTTTTAATCTTTAGAATGTTTTAGTGTTTATTGTATTTCACTGTAATCAAATCTGAAATAGTCGAATATTATTATAAGAAATTAATTGTATTACCACTTAAAGTGGATCATATTTAATGTGATAGTTATATATTTAGTATGTTGTTAATATGGCAGAGTGCTTTGCTTCCATAATACTCCAAATTAATCTCAGCCAATAAAAATTGTGGTAGACTTAGACAATACATTTTATATATACATTATGTACTATTGTACTAAAATATTTAAGTCTCAGTACATAGCTTTGAGCATGTTTTGTTTTATTTGTGATAATAAATAAAAAGAAAATAATTGTTTGTTTTTAATTACAGATCATTTTTTAGGAATTTGTTTTGATTACGAAAAAAAGTAAAAACAAGATAAATTGAAGAGATATATTTATTAGACAATTAATTCTTTTTCAGAGCCATTTTATTTGAACAGATTCAATACGCATATTACAATATAATGATAGATAGTCATTTGAATTATTTATTTCTTATACTATTACAAGTAAGCATCATTTCTTATATCATGAACATTTTAAAGTATCCTTTAAAATATAGGGTTGTCACTAACATCGTGACAACCCTATATTTTTCAAAATTATACACCACAGATATTAGAAATTATATAAATGATTAATAGAATACACTATTGATAATAAATGCATCGTCACAGAGACGAAAAAACATACAACTATTTAAAATTGTATTTCACCATATATTCAATTACAAGATTTTTAAAAATTTGCATGATTTAATAAGCAAAATAGGTTTGATTAAGAATATGAATATTTTTCTCAATTTCTTATTACCTCGCCTGCCTTATACATTGTGTTCTGACTTATTCAATACATTTCAAATAATTATTATCAATCTAAAGACATACAATTGTTAGTTGTGAAAATTTTTAATTAAGACACAAATTATAAAACAATGATAAGAATTTAATTTTTACGTTCAAAAAATCACTTTAAAATCTGTTTATAAATATTAATATCACATTAACCTAATGTCAGTTCAGTCTGTTACGATCTAATCAATAGAATAATTACAAATAATAATGAAATAACAACAAAAAAAATAATTAAAATACCTATTATCCTTTCAAAATAAAATAATGCGAATATTTCAATCAACACTATTTTCATATGCAATTAAACGTCGAGGTAGAACAGTGTTTCCGACAATTGATCGATAATTAAAATAATTGTTAATTTAAAACATATGATATGTCGATTGCGGTTCAATATTGACTAAAACGTTGAAATCAAATTAATTTTAAAATCATGTCATATCATTCGCTCAATAAAGCAATAAAAAATAAACTTACCAAGAAATACATCAGTCTACGTAAAATAATTTACTGGTCAAAAGGATATCTACAATAAAACTAAACTAAAAGAAATGTCAGAACTAAAATTTGAATACGCTAATATCACACAAGGAAATATTTACAAATACACCAGAATATTTTTAAAAATAAAAAAAAGACAAATAAAAAGCATTAAACATCACAAACACCGAAATACGTTATATTGAATACATTTAAACAAGGGACCGGTTTATAAATTTTAATACTACATAGTTTAGCTTGAAACCTCACACTCATACTCCAATACAGTCTTGTGATAGAATAGAAGATACCTGGAACATAAAGAAATACACATATTTAAACATATTTTTTTCTTAATATTTATTTAAAATTACCAACACGGCCAAATTTCTTGCACAATAACTAGTTACCTCTATGACTATTTTAAATTCTTTTTTTAATCTAACAGCTCATTGAAATCCAGCCAGTTATAATTAAACCAGCAAAAAAAATAGTATTTCTTATGTATCTCTAAAAGCTGCCCAATGTTTAGTTTAATTCTATAATTCCATGCAAGCAGAACCTCAAACCTGTACAGGCTTTTGTAAAACCTTGTCAAATGTCGGTAATTTTAATATTTTATTTAATCGTTTACTCGTTTTAACGCTTGTTTTCAGGATACTTTTTCAATACCCATTTGTAAAACTAATTATTTCAAAAATTCTTTTATTCTAAGATCTTGTAATAGTCATAATAGAAAATACAACCACATTGATCTGTTTAAAAATAGTTTAAGTAAATTTTATAATCTGGTGAAAAATACTTATTCGTAATTAATTAATACATAGTTGTATTTTATGTTACATCAAAATTAGTCCATTTCCCTGTTAAAACAGTAGTGGAAACTTAACTGGCATATGTGTTAAAATATGATTATTATATTAAGTTGTAATATACGATATGCTGTATGTTTCTCTAATAATAAATAAATAAATTATTTATAAGACCAACAATGATAATTCACAACTCTTGAACAGAAGCTAAGATCAGGGTAACTAATAATATTCGTCGTATTAATATAAATTAAGATATTTAATATATGACTACCCACCCTTCACTATCCAGTACTTCCCTCAAGGAGGCGCGTGTTATCATATGATCGTCACACTTGAACCAGCTCCCCTTCATCTGCCTCACATAGGCGGTGTAGTGACCAGCGTCCAATGACCCCAGGTGGTTGACGACCGCGAACAACGAGTAACGATTATCTTCAAAGACTCCTTCGGGAGCGTTGTTATTATCAGCAGCCTCCACGGCTCTTCTATGAGTGGACATGAACGGCGTCATATCCAGTTCAGCGGGGAATGAGACGAAGGCGGATATCTTCCTGTCTATCTGTGAGGAATGCTCGAATCTCTTGAGGTGGAAGCTTGCTACTATGGGCAGTGTTTCTAGTGTTAATTGTTTGGTGGATTCGCGGTAGGCTCGGCAGTTGGAGCATTTTATTTTTGCAGCTGAGCCGAGATGTTCTGCTCTAGTGAATCTCTCGAGGCAGGCTTGTAGTGAGCCGGGACCGGCTACATCAAGACTTATGTCCCAGAAAGGGTCTATAGTTGTCGAGACCCCTGAACACGATGTACACACTACATCACTCTGTAACCCGCCCGTGAATATCTGATCTATGATACAATTACATCGACCGTTTTCTTTCTTCTCAGTGTCTTCGACGCCGTTCATGCAATGTCTGGAATTATAATGGATGACATTAAAAAGAAATCTTCGCCTGATGGTTTTGTATCAACTCTATCTTAGAATCAATCATTTTGCAAAAAGTTTGGATACAAATAAGATCTTTATGTTTTGTATTTAATGTTACATATGAAACAAGCAAACAGTTTTTATAACTTATAACTATCAGTTGTGAATAGTATGATATTAAACTCTATAAAATTTCATCACGAACATGTAAGACAAATGAACATTTTTCAATTTGTAGGACTTTATATTTTAATGACACAAAAATATATATAAATTTTTCGATTCTTTTTTTTCCGTACCGTTTGAGCAAAGAAATAAAACCATTTGCTCGTATTTTATATTTCCTCAGACTAACAAATTAAGTGTCTTCGAGGCAAAAATAAAGAGACTATGAATGAGATAGCACACCACCTTTGTCTTAATTCGAACCTACCACCAGATGGAGTGATAATCGATAATTATTTATACCATAATAAATATAATTTCTTCATTACAATACCTGTGTAAGACGTCAAGCGTCGCTATGAAGAACTCGTGAGCGTCTTGTTGTTCATAGCCCGCCAGGTGACGCGCGTGTGTCCAGATAAGGTGAAGCAAACGATGCAAGGTCAGAGGGGTCTTCGCACCCGAATAGAACTCCTAAAACAATATAAGATCATCTACATACAAAGTTTTCTTTAACCCATATCTTTATATACACATAATTAAAAAAATAAATACAAAATGTATTATCACTTAAAGGAAATTATTTTGCCGATGTCAACGTCCTTATTTGTTGGAGATAAATTGTTTATTAGTGATCATACAACATGTCATTTAATTTTTTATTTCATTATCAACAACTGGAAATATATTATACTTTTTAGGTCAAAAGCACATTGCACTTCTCTCATCTCTTACAAAAAAAAAATCTCTTACTTTAACTATCAAAATAATCGATATAAAAAGGTATTTACTTATTTACTGTCTTTATTTTCTTTGGATTATTCTATGATTTTAACAATGTGTTCAATGGGAAATTATATCATCAAGACTTAGAGATAAAATTGCTATTTTTATTTTTGATCCTCGAGAAAGTAACTAACTAAAAAAAATAACTAACTAAAACTACTCGTAGTAAAATGAAGATTTCATTAAACACTTTCAATAATCTTTTTCCATTTCAGATAATTTCCAAACGAATCGCATATTGTTATATTAAAAAGATTGATAGTATATTAAAAAATAGTGCATTTTAATATCGAAGATTACAAATATTTTCCAACAGTTCCTCATGATATAAAAATTCCAAAGAAATTACATAAGTATACGCTTTAATAAAACGATAACTTATATCGATTTAAGATCTGTAACACAAAAACTGTAATGTTTATTGTCTCTAGAATAAAAAAACTTTATAAATGGAACCTGGTTCAATACTGAACACGAGATCATATCAAAAACGATGACATTACAATATTCTACTAAATCAATATAAAGACAAAACAAATTCAACTCAATAACTAAATGTATGAATCTGTTCGGTTCTACTTGTAACAGACATCCGTAGCTTGTAACTCCGACAAAATCAATAATGCACATAGCTGAGAGTTATTTATAGTTTACCTGGAAAAGCTTCGAAACCTCGCAAACGAGACATTTACCGGAGCCCTGGGTTTTGCATTTGTGCTTCTCGCCCAGGAAATAATCTCGTAACAGGGGTGTATGGATTAAAGTCTGGAAGCGAAAAATAAAAAGGATTTACGTTTTGAAACAGCAATTTTCTCAATATTCCTATATAGAAATATATAGATAGATAAATACTCCTTTTTTTTCTTTTTTTTGATGTCGCAGGGAAACTCTTTTTACGAGCCGTCCAACCGGCCTTTGTGGGGCCGGAAGGGATGTGTGAGACTCGACCTGGGCAGGCCCCTACTCACTAATAGATAAATAATCCTAGTGTAGCTAATTAACATATTGTTAATATGCATCAGTAGTATTTTTTGAAAGTTCAATTAAAACTCAAACCCTAGATTTGCGTAACAGTAAAATACATACATACTTATACTTATATCTTTACATGCCTTTTCGTTCATAAATAATAAATTGCTTAATTAAGATTAATGATATTTATATTTTATGTAACAATATGATCAAAACAGATCAATAAATTCTATCGTTTCAACTTAGTTAGGATGTTCTTTTAATAAAATTATATTTTATAAATTTTAAGACGAAAATGAATTACAACAATGTTAAAGTTACTTTTTTAACTAAGTATAGAGCTTTTAGATATTTTTATAAAAAATTTAATTGTCAAAAACAAAATTTTTGCAGATCCTAGGTAAAATACATGCCTGTGTTATTTAAGATCCATATCATATAAAATATATCCAATGTTAATTCAAAATTGTATTCAGTCTCCAACTTAGTATTTATCAAACGATATGCAAATCATAGTTTCTACACTAAAAATATTGACACGGATATTGTGAAAAAGAGCTTGCTCCGTTACGAAAATTTATTTAAGAAGTTTAGCGGAGAAATAATTGAGCGAAAGCGAAAAAAGTCTGGACAATGAAAACATGCAAATACGAAAATAAAAACGGATACTTTGTTCCATAAACTAAGAAAAACAAAATTATTAGTGAAGGTAAAAAGTTTTGAAGGGAGAGCTGTAATTACTATTCTTTCAACAATTTAACTCTGGATAGTATATTTTATGGATAAAAAATATACTATATGGTATACAATAGGTTAAATAGTATAAGGTAACCTTAAAGAATTACAGGCAGTCCTCGTACTTACGGCATGTTAGGTTCTTGAAATACGCGACGTAAATCGAAACGACGTAAGTCGAGACATATTTTTTCATATGTTTACATGTAAAACTCAAGGGTTAGGTTCCACACGGACTCGAAATAATAAAAAAACTGCATTTATAACAAAGGACGTACTTTATTATTAAAAGTAAGTTCTTAAAGTAATTATATATTATGCACTTATGAAATTGCTAGTTATTTTTGGTATTTGTGTGTTATTAATTTTAATAATAATTATAAAACTTATACATATGTAATGATAAATAATAAATTAAACTTTTGGCTTAAAGAAACTATCAATTCTAGATTGCTTGGCTTCTTTCTTCTTGCTATCATACAGATCTTGGTAACAGTGATAGGCTGCACAAATTTTGTTATTAACGTTAAAACTTCTCTCAAAATTAGGATCATTTTCTTCTAAAATTTTCATGGCATTCTTCAAATTTGCAAAGGCTACGGAAAGTTTTTTTAGTGTAAGTTCTTTTTCAGAGTCACTAATAGAAGAAGCTATTTCTTGTGACTCGAGTGCTTCCTTTTGTACTTGTGCCTCCAATTCAATAAGATCTTCATCAGTCAGTTCTTGCGAATGTGAGCTTAACAGATCATCAATATCATCAGTAGTAACTGCAATGTCAGGCAAACGGTTAGCGCTCCTCACGGACATTGACCTTGCGACAAGTGAATTCTTCGATATGCCGGAAATCGAAACAAATGACGTATGCTTGAGGAATAGTGTCAAAACATTGTTCGACGTAACTTGAAACGACGTAAATCGAAACGACGTAAGTCGAGGACCGCCTGTATTGCAGAGTATTTCATTCTGCTAAGAAATTTTAGTTAATCAGTATTAATAGAAATTGTCTGGATCTCACAATGGACAGGAAATACAGAAAGTATTACTCCATTATCTATTCATGATGATTGAAAAGATTTCACAGAGAGAAATTCCGACACATCATCTAATTTTGCAAACAACAGTATATGATAATTAAAGTTTCAATATAGTAAAATCATCCAAGGCCTGTTAGAGTGCCAAGTTTTCAGCAAAGATGAGCACCCAACTTAATACAATACCATAATTGGTTCATAGAATGACACAAGTGAGTAGTAATAAAAGAATACAATTACTAAAGCCATACAAACGATTTTAAATACCTTTATATACTTTAAAAATCTTTCAACACTATTACACAGTAAACATTTTTTTTAAAGTTTGTTGTAAATGAAAATCACTAATTAAAGCTTAGTCCATAATTTGTTACCCTTTTGTATGTTTAACCACTCTATACTGAGAGCTTTTATTTCGTGGGAGTCATATTGTATTCAATGATTACATACCTTTTATACAAAATAAAAACATGCTTATAAAAATGCTAATATTATTTACTCATATATAAGTCTGCTTTATCATACAACTCGTCAAATATCTCTTATCTCAGGCATTCAGGAAAGTCACAGCACATTTTTGGTAAAAAAATTAAGCCAAAGATACTTTTGGTCTACTGGTGTAAAAAAAAGCAAGCTATGTTTCTAGCCTAAACTTAACTTAAAACATTTCAGTACCTATTATATTACTACCAAACTAAAAATAATATTTTTTTTTTGGCTTAAGTATGCCACTCTTTTATCATTTAATTTTTTTACTTACATGTATAAAAGGAAACAACACATTGCTCTTTATTACAAAGTAACTTTTGAAAGATTGTTGTTAAACTACAACCTTTTTAGAACAAAAATATCATTGTTTTTCAATAAACTGACATTACAAATTACAAGCTCATTTCAAACAAATATGTACTTTGGGCCTCTTTACACTTATGGTTGTCACAAAATTATACATATATTTCATTTTAATTTATAATTTACATATACTAGATGTGGTGTGAGGTTCAAGAGAGATTCAATAGAGATTAAATCAGTTCTTGTTTATAAATATATTTTCCTGTTTAACAAATAAAAATTTATTGCACTTAATTCAAACTCAAACTCAAATAACTTTATTCAATATAGAAGCATTACACTTTCTTATTGATGGTCATTTGAGACACTACCACCAGTTCGGAAAAGAAAATACCCTGACCTGAGAAAAACCGGCGAAAGAAACTCAGTGGGTTTTTTTTTATATATATATTTGTCTCATATATTATATATACAATTTAATATGAGATGAAATAGCCAGGAGGCAATCGTTTCATTCCCAAGGTGTGCTATCGATCATAAACTCATTAATTGTATAGTAAAATGTGTTTAAAAGACTTAATACCCATGTATCAAAATATATTATATACACAATTTAATATGAGATGAAATAGCCAGGAGGCGATCATTTCATTCCCAAGGTGTGCTATCAATCATAAACTCATTAATTGTATAGTAAAATGTGTTTAAAAGACTTAATACCCATGTATCACAATGTACAATTTTCTATCAAACTTTCTAAAATCGACTAACCTGAACAATGCAGTTCATGAAGCACGTTGATCCAAGGTTCTGCAATCCACGAAGACCGATGGTGGTGTGAGGACTTATGAGACGTCTTTTACGCAATCTTCTGAGAGCCATTACTTCATTATTGTTAGGCAGCCACGGTGTGTATGGCACACTGATACCTAGAGCTCTATACAAAACCAAAAACATATATGACTTCATTAAATATTCAAAATGTATTCATTTTCATACATTTAACAAGCTATTTTACAGATAATTTTATTAATGGACAGAATTCAATTACAATCTACATATTGTCACAAAAAATTGTGCTGCTTCAGGGAGTTGGAGAAAATATAATAATAAAAATCTTTTAAACTTACTTAGCTTCTTTCACCCTGTAATTCCTTGATAGTTCAGTCAATTCTCTGTCATAGATGTAATCTTGGCACTGGGCACAAAACACATTACCATAACTGAGATCAACATATAGGAAGTGCTTTTTAGACTTGGAATGATCCTGTATGTGTCCATTGTAACAAGCAAAAAAAATACAATGAAGGCATGAATGCATTCTGGGACCTGCCTTTCCACAGGTAAAGCATAGACATGATGTAGCCTAAAAAAAAATTAATTCCAATAATAATTTCAACTATTTGCATAAACTAACATCATTAGTCTTCATAATTTAGTTTAAGTAAAAAATTATAAAAGGTAAGATATTTAATTTCGATGCATGAAACACTAAACAAACCATCAGCTGTTTTAAGGTCAAAGATTAGGAATCAGCTGACAATAGAATCAACAGTTTACAGTTAAATCAGAAGCTTTTAATTTTTTAGCTTAATATTCTACAAACGATCGTAAAGATTTTAAAGAAATATGGATCAATTAATTTAGTTTTTACAAATACCTTATATCTTCTAGCTTCGTAGGAAGTGCATGACACAAAAAATGCATGTACTATTTTGTAGGGATTTGTCCCCTTTGCTGCTTTAAAATTGTTCAAATGTATACATCCAGTGTCATTCATTATTTCAGTGGTAAAACTTGTAACCGGCTGGGTAAACTTTGCCTTTTATATACTGATCTAAAAGGAAAACAGTAATCTCAACACAAGTTAAAACAAACAACAAATTAAAAATACGCAGTTATTGTAACAAAAAAGTTAAGAAGAAAATATAAATAGGATAAGCCATACGGGGCGTGCTACTTTTCATTACATATTAACCGCAAGAGCAAAATTGGTTGCATAGAAACAAGGCAGTCTTGCCTTGATTACACACAATTCACTTCGAACAACGGTCTCTGTCTATCCACTCCCTACTAGCGACTGCCGTCATACACAAAGTTCAGACAACTGTGAGTTGTGACAAACTGACAAATGTGTACGAGGAATAGATGAAGTAGGTACCGTAGGTAGGTAGGATTTGGATCGTCGCACTTCACGACGCGCAGACTCTATTCCTTTGAGTACCTACTATTCTTTCAGATTTTATTATTTATAATCTGTATCATGACAGTTCCAGACTTAAAATAAGAACTAGTCTCAATGTTTTAAAATATACGAAAAAAATATTTTTTGTGATTGTTGCCTTGTTTATAAAGCAAACGACACAGTCGTTAAAATTTATATTGAAAACTATAAAAAATATGCAATACTTATGGTCAGCAAAAGTAATGAAAAGTGGCTTACAAATTTATCAAATATCGAAAACTAAAAGAAACATTTTCATAGAGTTGAATGTTTATTAATTTGCTATAAATTTGCCTTTTATAACTTCTTTAATTGTCTTATAAATTTAGTTATAATATACACTGTAAAATACTCATGCAATCTCAGTTATTTTGTTATTCTGTTTTAATGTGCATAATAATAATAAAAAATACCAAATAGTCTTGATGATGTTGGTTATATACGATATAATTAGCTGTATTAATGTTAGTAGCAATTAATTATTGCTGAATGAGTTTATATATTATGGGTGATCATCGTATTGACCGTACTTAGATTACACCTGCACTCAGAAAGAATATTAATTTTACATTGCTTAAAGTGTATGGCCATATAAGTAAGCCATATAATGTCTTACATTACATCGTAAGATTTTTATGTTAATTGAAAAAAAATATGTAAATACAATAGGTGTCAAGCATAACTTAGCATGGTCCTATTGAATTACAAAATTCAGAACTGAATTCATTTATAATATAATGTAAAAAGAAAGATTTTTTTTAGCACAAACATTAACACAATTTGGGATCTAGTACTAATGTTACCAAAACAAAAAATACTTATACGTATTGCTTGCCAGTTGCAGTTCATCTAAATCAGTAGCTAGACTTTTATCATATACTCTCCCAAAATAAATAGAGATTTTTATTTATATCTGTTATTAGTTATTATTTTTTATTTAACTAAATATTTCCATTCTTATATGCATATATATTCTATAATCTTTGCCTTAATTGCTCAAACTTAACTTTAAAACGACCTTCTATGCAACAAATGAGAGTAGACTATTTTTAAAATACAATGTTTTAGAATTGTTATATCTATGGGAAAATATATGATTCAAATCAGTAAGTATGCCTTCTACAAAATTTACTATAGACTGTGGTAGCTGTGTTTGACTGATGAATGATGATGAGTAGTAAATAAATATGGCTGCCAGTCAATTTTAACGATGTAAACTTTTGTTTACTGTTTTTAGTAAATATAAGAAATGATAAGTGAATTTGAAAATTTGTCTCTCGGAGGAAATAATGCTGCCAGTAATCATGGAGATCCTTTTACACATACGGGTATAGTACTGTTGTATTTGTATGCTTCATGCATTCTGACCTCGAATGAATGCTGTTCAATCTTGTACTGGGCAGTACGTAATTATTAATTGTAAGACTTTTATGATAGAAAATTTGTAAATTTTTTAGAGCTGACACCGGAGCAGCAAAAGACCTTAATAGATATACGACGCCGAAAAACTGAACTACTGCTAGAAATACAGGTTAGTGAGGATATTATGTTTTTGATTAATATAAAGGTGTGTCGTTTATATGTTTATACACTCAACGGCGAATCTTACAAGTACTGTTTATAATAACTTAATTTTATTTAAAAATCTCCTTGTGTTTATGTATAATGTACAGTACATTGGAAATAGACAGTTAAATGGGTTATGCAGGGCCCTTTTGCAAACCAAATATATAATTTTTATGCTCTTAGTTACAAGAAGTTACCCTAATGCCAAAACTGTGAAGGCTTTGCTTTCAAATTTTATTAAGTGTATATTCACTACTCGCAACTCGCTTTATATCAATGAAAATTTCCATTCTTTGAAACGAAAGTTTAACCGGGCAACTTTACTGAAAAATTTATTTACCTTTTTATTGCTTGATTATTGCTATGTTTGGTTTCTCTTGTTTTTGTTATTGTTTCTGTTATTTTTGTTACTATAAAGTGAAACGTATTTGAAATAATTTATTTCTATATTTAATTTATGTTGAAATATTGTACATATATTAAATAATCAACGTGTTATTAAAAATTAACATTCAATAAGAGTTCAATGGAGGCAAACAACAGTGAATTCTATATTAAGCCTTAGACCAAATTATAGGCTTTTTAATCATATTCATACATATAACATATACTATAAATTGGAAAATATAACAAATAAAAGCCTACTTTTGACTTCATACCAAGATCATTTTTCCTACTAAATCTTTTAGACTTTTAAACTATAACAGGTTTTCTTTTGTAAGAATCATTTTTTGCTATAGTATTTTCACTCTTTAAATATGAGTTTTAAAAGCTGTCATTTAGTAAGAAAAGTTTTTAAAGCCAAAAGAAGGGCCATCGAAGTAAAATACCCGAAAGTCCTGAAATTTTAAATAGTCTCAGTATATGCATATTTTAATGTGTGTATCATAAAGACGGAGCATATAATATGAATCGTATGTGACTTGTTTATCTTTGTGTTTCTGTGTTGCTATAACGGCAGTCATGTATTGATATGAACCTTTGTTTAGTCTTTGTTACTCACATTCATAGTTACTAATTGAATTGTACTAGGAAAAGTTTTAACACTATTTCACATCTGACCAAAACAAAGTAATAGTTTTAAATACAATTTTAAATGTGTGAGGATAATCTGCTATATCTATATTGATTACACAACTATGAAATATGTAATGGATTATCATTTATCATGTCAGTTTTTTTAACATGTAATTTTATTTAATTAATTTATATGTAAATATTAACTCTTAATCATTCACAAATATTTCAAATAACATGTGCACATAAAATTTAAAGTTTTTATTCATCATGCTGCATTTCTTTCAGTTATTTACTAATTTCAATTAAAACCTATAATCGTAATGTTGAAATACCTTATGGCTTATAAAAAGTCAATGATACATAGCTCTGTCTATGAATGAATATTAATATCGTAAATTTAAGGGTGTGATTGCATAGGAAGTATACAATTCATATAAATATACAAAGCCTTTATTTAATATGATTGTAAGTATACTGGTAATGGAGATATATAATTTTATCTACAAAAAGATTAGCTGCGATGTAATTTTTGATCCTACTACGTCACTATGTTAAAGGGCACCGAGTCCTTTATTTGTCCGTCCAATAGTATATCCCGTTCCTTTCCATTCAAGCAACTGCGGTGTGTGACGTAAGCCGTCAATGTTTAGCTTACTACGAACGAGAGAGAGGCAGATAGATGTTAGAACTGACTCGCCAGTCGCCAGTCAGTGAATCAGTTAAAGCCGGCGTGCGGTACGATAGCGTCGTCTCGGTTAGACGGTTACGGAAGCGTTCAAATTTCATATAAATACGTGTTGTATGTAAGTGAAGTGATACAAATGAATTTTTATTATTAGTATTAATTGATAATAACAGTGGTGTTTTATCGATTAGTCGTGCTCGTCATTGATAACATTGATAAGTGGAATTTTGCAATGACTACATAGTAATTTCGCCATCGGTAAAATTTACTAATGATGATTTCAAAAAAAATAATAAAATAATAGGTGAAGTTATCTATGTTTGGTTTCGAGTTGACACAATTTTATTGATTTTTTTATATAGAGTTATATTTTGTATAATTGCATGACTCATACTGCGTGTGTTAGTTATTGATAATAATTGTCAAAGTTGGAAATTCCTTAATAGTTTAAAATTCCTCAAACAATTATTATCCTGTCTTGATCTTTATTCCATGCGGGTATACCTTCATATTTCACAACATTGAATACAAAAAATCTTTATAATTCAAGACGCGTGTAATATGTAGATGTAAAGTCAATCACTGGTTCCTAGTAAATGTGAAATTTTAATTTTTAGACGGTATACTTAAAAAAAGTTCGTACCAAATTAATATGTACAATTAGAACTAAATTTCTTTTTAAGTATTAGTTTATTGTAATGATGTGATTCATAACTCATTAATACATTATTGTTGTAGTTATGGATTTCAGTATCCTCAATTGAAAAATTGTCTATTTACGTCTTCTGTGGTTTTAATGTGTGTCTATAATTTAGATAAAACTATTAGTTGTGCTCGTCACTTAGCGACATGATTCATTAGCAAAAACTTGTACGTCAACAATTATAGTTGTATAAGATTAAGTATTGCAGAAAAATGTAGTTTGAAATGTTTGCATTTAATACGTTGGTGTTTGAAGTTTAAAATTTTGCAATTGTTCAATACTAAAACTTTGCTATCACAATATTTATGTCTTTCTCAATCATGGATTCCCTCGAATTGTTGAACGAGTCATTGTTGATATCGTGTTTCCTCTGTGAACTTCCTGACTGTATTCTGCGATAACAACTGACCGTATTGTTTTGCAACATATTTTTGATTATACTGCAATACTAGATTTGTTTGTTAAGATTTCAATTGATTCCATCTAAAAAATTCCAATAATGCTTCATCATCACAACTTCTATTATGGCGTTTGTTTACTCACTGTGCCATCATTAATTTACTTACATAGATGTGTTCGCGAGACAATATCTAGAAAATACTTCTATTCTCATTATTTTAACATTCTCGTAATAGAATTCTAAGTTTCGGTTTAACAAAAACATTTCCTTATTTTTTTACTCTAAACAAAACCACCATCGACAATGATCTTTGACTTTTTTCTTCAGCGTGTTTCCCAAAAAAAATAGCAAGAGATAAACGAATGTAAACAAGCACATCGTATTTTGCTTAAAAATAAAAATGTAGGTACGTTGCCGATAAACGTCAACGTAAGGTGTTTGTACAACAGACTTGTATAAAGATAAGCTACGTATAGGTAGTTGTCACGGTGCCAAAGACGGTGGCGCACGCGGCTCTCTTCAGTCGAGTGCGTTCCTTAGCGGGAAGTGTATGGCGCGCGATGTGTTTACATTTTCGGCTGCTGTGCGGGGCGCTCTGGTGGCCGGTGCTGATGCGCTGCGCTCGCGCAGCACGCTCCTATGACGACGATTACGACCAGGTCTGTCTGCTGTCACTGAAACCGCTTGTTATGCACTGGTATCTATAACGATGTCGTATAGCTTCACCTTATATTTTGGCAACAATCGTTCTAGTTCTAATCCTTGGCGAGTCGACCATGTAGTCCTCCACTTATCACATGTTTGGCTTTGTTTGCTAATTTTTATTTTATTTTACGGCTTGTAGGTTCGTGTGATTTTGGCTTTGTATCGGGGGTTTTGTTCTCTAAAGGTTAGAGCCACGTTGTGAAATATTGTGTGATGTGCGTGGTGAGCTAGTGCTTCCGAGTAATGTTTATCAAGGCCGTGCCCGTGGCCGCCGAAGAGGAGCGCCGTGGTTCAGTGTCTAATTGGTTCTCGTCTTTGAGACGGGGCGGTCGTCGTAAGCGTGAAGACAGCGCCGTGCCGACTGTCACTGTCGGTTACGGTTCATTAGGCAGGCGGAAGGATGGCGGTCAGGCACGCGGGAAGACGAGATCGGCATGGGATCTCACCACCGTCACCAGGCTGGTCTGTATATTAGGATATCACATTATATGTCAGTGAAAGGCATTCGTAATGCGAACGCCACTGGAGTCTACAGATTGGCAGTTATCCAAATGCGCTGGATCGATCATGCTTTTCTCTGTCTGCGGTTGAAATTATTACTATTCACGATCGCTGTCATTTGTTTAAATTTCTTATGTTGAATATAATGTTTCATACAATATTACGATCTATTAATATATGATGCACTATTCAGTAGTTTACTATGAGTCATATCTGATAACTTTTTAAATCTAGGTCTGTCGGTATATATTGTTGTTTGGAGTTGATATAACAAACAAAATTTATCACGACGATTATTACTATCAGTTTACCTAATTTTATAAACAGAACGAGTGAATTAGTAACTATAATAACTCCATTGCTACATAAATCAAATTCCACCAAGCGAGTTTTTACTTTCAAGGGCAATGAAATTAGGCTGCAGAGTGCAGGTTGTGGTGCGTCAGTACTTTATTTATACGTGTATGAGATCAGCCTCCAGTATTTGAAATGAAAATCAAATTCATTGTAGTTATTATGATTAAATATATAAATGTATAAAAAACTCCTTTATGCTTGGTTTTGTTATCAACAAATGAGTTGTTTGGTTTGCTATAAAAAAACTTAACATATGCGGATGGGATTGTTTGTCCAAAGAGATATATTTTTTGATAAGGACGAATTTTTCTTTATAAATATTAAATGTCGAGCGTTGTAGGTTATATTTCATATTATTAAAGTTGTCGCATTCATCGTTAAAATACGGTTTCAATAGAAACAGGGCACAAGACAAAGGTGTATAACAAAATATAAAACATTGTAACGTATGACATCATTTTTATATAGATGTGTGTGTTGACTTGAGAATGTTTGCACAACCCAATTATATGCACGTGGAACTAAAAACAATATGACATTCACAGTTTGCGCTACTGTGTGTTTAACAATAGAATTTATATATATTGTATATTGAACTCTATTAATGGATGCATTGATGTTAAAATAAAATGCACCTGCTGTAGAACAAAATAAGCGTCGACTAATATTTATAGCGTCGCATAATGACGGTGGCGCTAAGATTTTTAATATGTAGTAAAATTCTTTATTATAAAAATAATTATGTACAGTTTTAGCAAGAAATATGACAATTATGTATATAGAGTTACTATTAATACATGTTTATTATTTAAATATGTATATAATAAATATACTTGTGTTTATAATATAATTATAAATACTATTAAAATTGTCAAAAACATCAAAGTCTGTCTTTCACCGTCATTGTAAAAGAAATTGGGAGGTAAAAAAATTATTCATTTTGGAATTTCCATTTGCGTCACGAAAGAGACCGGTGATTATAATTTGATATTAAATAAAGGTCCCTTTGAGTTTTTATGTTGAAGTTAATAAATTAGATTTCTCTCATGGCAAACCTTTTTAAATGAAATATACAAAATGTGCTTTGAGTTGCTTTGAAATATATGCGATGTTGTTTGTTTTAGTCATGACAAAAAAGTCACCATAGAGAGCTTTCCAGTTTTATATCGGATGCATCGTATAGAAAAATGATATGACAATATTTTGGCATATTAACTAACTTTGGACACGTTGTTCTGTCATAGGTATTTCCGTAAATTTAAATTCATATTCCTGTTAGTGGTTGTGCGAGCCAATAAAACGTCCGATATCGGTTCGCTTGCCTTGTTAGAGTGGCTGAATATAAAGTTACCTGCATTGCGTTTGGCAACACAAAAATGACTGGCCATTATTGAAAGTGTTTGTTAGCTGATGCCAGATGCATCAGACTTTAGTTCATTCACTCATATGATAATGAATAACATCTCAATCCATTCCTCAAGGTGACGCATAATTATAACCACAGCGAGATTTACATTTTGTATATACATATTTTGTGAGGTTTTTGAACGTTTTTATATATCTAACTTATCGGGCATTTCATGCATATTGGATTTACTTTTATGTTCCTGCAAAACTTAGCTTTTACTTTTAGTAAAAGTTTTGATTTTCATTCCAACGTTTTGTTAAATTATTGTGAATTCTTGCCAAGTCTTCTGGTGCCGGCCGTCTGGGCTTCCGTCCAAGGTTTCTTTTGCCGTATATCGAAATAATGTTTCCGAATTATAACCGTCACCGTTTTTTATGTTTAATTTGAAAAATAAAAAGCTTGTTTTGTTGCAATCCATATAGAATCTATGTTTGTATAAGGGCAGGGCTCCCGGTTGAATGCACGTGAGCGGGGCGGAGCGCTGACCTTGGAGGGACGAGGGGGGAAGTGCTAACATACCGCACGGTCACCAACACGTCAAACGAGTTATTCTTGCATTGCTTTACGAATGTGACTATACAACGGTTTAAGGATAACAAATGATGCTGCAAATTGATAAGAAAAGAATTTGTTTTAATATAACCTATTTCAAATACATTGCACTTATACATATCTAACATATTGAATTTAATAATATACTATGAGCTAATGTTGTCGCAACTTTAATGTGAAGTGCAGTAAAAAACAAGTAAGATCAAGAAAAACTTAAGAAGTTAAATACGTAAATGGATTGAATAAGGACTATGTTGTACTTTGTGAAACCCTTGTTTTTTAATAAGAAACAGGATGCCTCAAGTCAAACGAAGACTCAATACATCCTGTCTTTCTGATCTAATATGAAATACATTGACTATAATGATGATTTTTTAAGTATTGATTTTTGAATATATTTTTGTTATTTGTGGTGTTCATGTTTATCAAAGCGTTTTTTTTGGTCTTGCGAATGACGTCAGCTGTGTTCTGTGGTCGGCGAAAAATGTTAACGTCATTATAATATTTGAAATACAAAGAATTAAAAATTGCTTACAGTGATTTATATCGCAAAATGCCACGGTCGTTTTGAGAGGGGCGTGAAACCGCTTTTCTAATTCTCTCAAGGGAGCATTTAAGGATGGTTACCAAGCTTAGGAAATAAATGACTTCACGCTGTTTACCGTCCAAGGTACTTGTCATGGGGCGTCTAATTTTTTGCCTGCCCATGTCACCTACATCTGTTAACAGCGCCGTAACAAATACTCGCTAACTCTCTTAATTTATATCTTCCTAACGAAGACTGCATAGGATCTGTTTTACTTTTCATACTGTTCGTCTGAATTTAAATTTAGTACAGCACAGTTGATAGAAAACAAAACACTTCTGTTAAAAATTGACAGTTGTGTTTTGACATTTGTTTTACATCACGGATACGTTTTCATTGTAAGCCATCATTTTTATTTGTTACTTTAAAAATGTACAGCACAATACACTGTATTATGTTATTTTTTAATATTACTCATAGAGTGAACATTTCATTATTTGTTATTTGAACGACAATCATTCATAATTTATAAAACAAACAGACAAATAAAACAATATTAATATCCTGCTGACGCGCCATTGAACTTTGTCACCAAATTGAATGAGACGAATGGAAGATATTAAAATGTTCTTAGCTCAATGAACACATGTACCATCAATTGGGTCATCTTTGTGTTTTATTATTATTAACAATGAATAGTTCTTGACTTGTTACCCTAAAAGATATTTCGTATCATAGTTCGGTTAGAAAAACTATACTGAAGTTCACGGTCGCGATAAATATTACATACTTATGGTCCGCCACATGGCCCGGCCCGTCTGCACTCGAGTCCACGTATAACCATTAAAACTAAACAAGTTTCTATCGCAGAAGTAGTTTTTAAATAAAACTCTAATTTTAACAAGATTAATGAGTATCAGGTGTTTTGTTTACCGTTAGCTAAGTTCAAATTGCACAATGATATTACGTACTTCAATTTAAAACGAATAACTCAAAAATATCTGCCTTATGTAACAGATATTGTAATATAAATCTTACTATAATTCAGATATGTCTTTTCTTACTTTCCAATTATTTAATACTGTAAAAAATTACGCTTAAAAAAGTTATATATTGTTTCATATTAATCATATACGATTAGAAATTTTGATGAATAAATTTGAAAGAAAAATCTAACTGCACAGTAAAATATTAGACTTCGTCACTCAAGCTACGACCGACATTGAATATGTTTCTGTTAAATTATAATAATCTTAAATGTTAACTTCCACACTTTGCAGCTGCTAATTAAATTTTAACTAAGGTGAATTCACCTGTCTATGATAAATTAGTATCATTTTAATAAATTATAAAGGGAGAAAGTTTTTGTATTTTATTATTGTACGTGATGACATTTCAGGGATTCCAAAACAATCGACAACGTGGATAAAATGTACTATTTATGATAATTAGGATAGTCCATTGTATAAAAAATAAGTATTCTAGGTTATTAAAAATATAGTAACATGTGTAGTAGTGAATTGACCGCTATCCAGACCCCGTTGAAATTCCACAAATCCATTCGAAACCACGTGCTACGTTCTCATGTTCCATCAATATGAAACAATCATGTGTTTAGCGAATATCGCCTTTAAATATTATATGATATATGTAAGTTAAGTTCATTATCCCTGGTTGTCAATGGTTGTTTGAATTTGTGAGGGCGTTGGCCCGTGTTCTTTGCATGTTGACTCCACACGCTTACTCCCATACCGACTGTCATTAGTTCCCTCCGCTAATATTTTTATTCTTATTGCGCCCGGACCCTCGTTACATTTGAACGTAATGCGGCTATTGTATTCGGTTTTAAAATTTATTGCTATGATATTTATTTTTAGAGCCCTTCTACAGAACTTCCCCTTTTGTGTGTCATATATTGGAATTAATTGAAACCAATTAAGATATTCGTTTCCCCTAATGCTTTGTTATCAATATTATCAGTGTCGCGCAGTCTTTGGCTGCTGGCGGTTGTTAAATCGAAGTTCATTTATCCATAAACTGTAAGAAAGAGTCTGTGTGAAGCTAAAATCTGTAACACTCAGCTCTCGGTGACCGCTGGCCGGAAATATGAAGCCATTG